TCGATGGCGAAGATTCGTACAAGGATCGGTCTGAGGCGCGAAGTTCGTACGGCACTCCCGAAAATCTAGCGTTTGAATAATCCCGCGGAGGTCACGCGAAGGTCACGCGATCTATTTAAGAGAAAAGCGTACTCACTCGGGCGCTTCCTTGGAACGGTCGCGATTGCGAGCTGTTGAGGCTATTGTTCGTGGCCGGCGGGCCTGTTGCTGCGCTGCTGTTGCTGCTCCTACTGCTCCGCTTCTGTCGCTCTGCTTCTGCTGCTCTGCTTCTGCTGCTCACTTTATGGCACTCGCGCGGAAATCCCCTGGTCGGCTCCAGGGCTCAGCGGCGCACTGGTCGGCACCAGAGTTCAGCGGGTACTGGCGCGCCGTTTTTCGGCGACGCACCGCTTCTCTTCACTTACCTCCCCTTAGTTATTAGCTGATTGGTTGGCTTGTTGCGAAGCCGGGTGTCAGCGCCATCTATACCGGTATCCCTAGACCGCGTAATTTATTTATTGGTCGTGCGTTGGCGCCTAATTTGCCTACTGGCTACAGAGATAGCGTCGGTTTCATCCTATTAGTCTAGCTACTCCTAAGCCGATAACGATTGGTTGGTCAGTTAGCGTCGCTTGTCTATCCTTGTCTATCCGGTGCTCGTTGGTCTTGCCGATTCCCCTCACTCGCGTCCGATCGGTTTCATATCGGCGGTCTCGCTTAGTCTCACGCGCTCGGTTACCCCTACTTTAGTCTAGCTAAGTCTGCCTCAGTTAACGGGGGCTTGCGATCAGCTGATCACAGCTGGAAACTCTAAGGGCTTCCAGCTTTCCGAGGGAGTGTCGAACCGGGTCGTGAGTGCGCGAGGGGTTGTACGCGGGTGTAAGGGTCGTGCGCATCGGTCAGGGAGACTTCTGGGAGCCATAGATCGCGAGATCCGGACGTGCGTGGGCGGGTGCATACGGCCGTAGCTGTTCGGTCGCATTTTCTAGCCGGAGCGGGGCTAGCACAGGTAGTGTGTTTTTCGCGTGATGACGCATCATCACAACTTCTCTAGATCTGTCTTTTCTCTCTGATTTATTTTCTCCTTCTAGATCCCTGCAACCGTTATTTGGGTTAGTGCTAAGACAACACTTGATATTGTTGTGTTTAATAGCTTTATTAAGCTCTAACTATTACTTAGTTTACGTGTAACATATTAATTTATAAGTTTATACCTGTTTCAGAATCTCTACGTGCAGTATCACGACTGGGATTAGCAGTAGCATCTCCTGGACAATCTTGGAATTTCATATCTGAACAAAATATTATTGAATGTTTTCATCTAATTTTGAGATTGCCATATAGTTTCTTTCCTAGCTTCACCAGATACGTCCCATGAAGCCAATCCGAGAATCAACAAATACTTCTAAAGTTAATCAGCACTATTGCCATGTACACTTTTTTCCAGATGATCATACATAGAGCAACTTAATAAGAAGGGGTGATTGCTAACGTTTACAATATCGGATCAACAATTAAAGTAAATGTCAAAGTCTTTGAGGTACTGACCATACTTATGAGGTTGTTAGTGCAACAACCTCGATTTTAGGGAGTTCAGTATTTCAATTTTAATTTAGTTTAATTTTTTATTCAATCATTTGATTATTTATTTATCTCAAAGTAAAATATTTGTCTAATTTCTCTAACATATTTCACTACAATGTAAACTATTCTTTTTCAACTAGTAATTATATAAAAGAAATCAGTCATTACGTTAATATGCCCAGTACCATCATTTCTGAGTTGACGGATAACTTTTGTATAACGGTATACTATATGCACAGCGATTATGCTTCATTATCGGCACAAGTGTAGTGAAAAGTAAACTCAATCAGCTGTCCATGTCTAAGATCTATCAATTTATAATTATTGATATAGTTTCGAAATGGATCAGATATAATCATTGGCAATTTACCAGACGCTCAATTATAAGCACTTGTATCTACAGATTATTCCATTTTATATGATCCTGGTATAATTAATAAAATCTCTCCCTTTCCTTTGCCCCTCCACATTTTAATCGAAAAGTAAAACTTACATGCGAATAGGTTACCGCTAATAACTAAAACCAAGAGGTTCAATTGAAATCAAGTTTATAGGTGAAAGAAAGTAAAAGTTGTAATATAACAATTTTCACTTCTTGCAACTACTTCTTGACTCTAGGTAGTAGCGACAGTCTACTTGCATGTAAGTCTTACTTTTCGAGAAAAGTTTGGTGGGGCAGAGGAAAAGGGGAGATTTTATTAATACTAGGAAAGTAGTTTTGAACGTTACATGAAAAAATATTTTTGGAAAAATTTATCCGCTGTCGTAATATACGTAGATATACATATAGATATATATATATATATATACATGCACACACAGACACACACACACACACACACTAAAACGCCAGTAATGTACAATAACTTATTTTCTCATATAGGACGTATTATTGCTGTAAAATTTCAGAAAGGTTTCATGAAAGTTATATATTTCTAAAATATTACTATTATTGTACAACTTGAAATACAAAAATGTTATAGGATAAGATTTTACTTCACTACTTAAAATATATGTAATATTTTGAATAACATTATTTTATTCAAACATTAATTTATTCAACATTATTTTATTAATACATTGCATTAATATTTTTCGTAACATTTCTGTGTGCTTAGTGGCATGATCATACAAATATTTCTCAAACATTCCAATGAAATTTTACCAGAACATTGCAAAATAAGAAACGTTGCAGATTTTTATCTTGCAATATTTTGGTAGGGTTAGTTATACGGACATATAAATTGCTTCTGAAATACTTCATGCAATTTTATCATAACCTTTTTAAAAAAATATTACAGCAACTTTATTTGCAATTTTTTTTGGAAGTTTTTTTTCCTCGAACGTATAAATATTTCTAAAATATTTCAATGAAATCTGCCCGAAACATTTCAGGGAATGTTGCTAGATCTTTTCTCGCAATGTTTTGTAGTTTTTTCGCACGAAAATATATAATTATAAATTTACATCTCTATGCAATAAAAATCGCAAAAACATTATACAGAAAAATTACACGAAAAATTTCTGATAAATTTGACAAAATTTATCAGAAATTTTTTGGGAATTCTTAGTTTTTTATAGAAATAAACATTTATATATTGATTATGTTAGTATTATATTATTACACTTATTGATGTTTATCTCTATAACTAAATTAATTTAATTTAATTCAACTTTTAATTAAATAAATAAATTTAGTATAAATTAACTCATAAAAATTGCCAACATTTTAATATTTCCTCTTTCAAAATGTTCACTCAAAATCTTAATTTGAATGAATTTTTTATCCAATAGTTTCTCTAAATTTTGTCATCTCTCCTACCTATAATTATCAATTATTCAATATCTATACTATTATTAGTATAATATCAATATGTAATTACTTATTAAAAATCGAACAAATATAAATTATAATGCATCAAAGAATAACCACATTCATTCATCGATTAAAAAGAAGTATGTAAATAAAATGCTACTTCTGGTGATATTTTTATGAAAGCCTTGAATGTGTTTAGGATACAATATTTAACTATATGAATAACTATTGAAAAAATAGTATATCGTTATACATAAAGTGGTCTGATATTATTCTGACTGTATAATTAAATAAATCACAAAATCTTAATACAATCCCAGTACAAAAATGAAATCCGCGTTTCTATCAACCTCCTTTCAAGAGAGATAAAAACTGTAAGTGAATCGGCATTGATAAATTGATAATTTTAGTGATCTAGAGAGCGTCATATAATGAATCTTTTGCATCTGTTAAGCAAACAAATTTTAATTCTATAATAACTAGTGTTTCCATGATAACTAACATTTCTATAATAACTAGCGCTCATACGGAAGTCATCAAGACGACTTGTCGAATAAAAGTCATCGATGTTTGCTCGTTTATTTCAATTCCGTTATTATTTTTCACAACTGGCTCAATTAGTAGTCTCGATAACGTTTATTGAAATTCTAGTAATTATTATTGAAACGTCTGGAAAAGCGTAAGAATCAACCGATAAAACTATCTTTACATCTACAAAACTATCGATAATATTTTAGTTTAAAATTAACGTGTATTTGAATTAGTTTATTTCTTTGGAGAAAAAAAGTCATTTCGCGACATTATGTTGGTCATTACAGAATTAGACATGATTATTTATTCATAAATACATAAAAATAAATTTTTGTGGTTGATATAAAAAAATTTAGAATTGATTTGATGAGTAGAGAGTTGAAATAATACATTATACATGTATTCTTTCCTCTTCTGTACACGAAGATTTTCCTAAGAAAGGAACCTAAGAAATATATAATGATAAATTAGTAGAAGACTATACAAATATGAATTATATTTAAGCGATGACAAAAACTTTAAGAAATAATTATTATGGATTTAAACAGAAGAGAGTGAAAGTGGGTGGTACTAACTATATCTGTCAAGTATGGCTTCTACATGTATGTATCCAGAGACTCAAGGTAAGCCAAGTAATTTCTTGATCCCTTTTAATTAAATAAGAATGAGTCCTTAAGATTGTTTACCGTCTTAACCGATTTTTGGATGCCGCTTATATGTACTGACTGTTTGTGTATATATGTCGATGTGTACGCGTGTGTGTAAGTGTAGATGACATTATATACATACATACATACATACATACATACATACATACATACATACATACATACATACATACATACATACATACATACATACATACATACATACATACATACATACATACATACATACATACATACATACATACATACATACATACATACATACATACGTACATACATACATACATACGTACTTACCTACATACATGCATATATATACATACATATATATATATACATATATATATATCGCTCATTCACTAATATAGTGATAGTAAAGTGAACAAAGCTAAAGTCTAACTGAAAGTAAAAAGTAGAAGTATCAGTATAATTAAGGACTGCTACCAGTTAGCTTCGATGAACTTGTTAAAGATTACATTCAAGTTATCTGTTACGACTTTAGTAAGAAAATAGTGTTTTTTTAATATAATTTAACAAAGTAAATTTTATTCTGTACGAAAAAAAGCAATTTATATCATAGACAATCAGGTAAATATTGTTTTCAGTTAAAGTGAATTTACTCATCATTTATCCTCTTGGTTTTTTATCTTTTTGATTTAATTAGTTTCTTACCTATGAAATAATTATGAAAAAATATTAAAAATTTTAATATTTATCTGTCTCCAGTTTCTGTTTTTTTCTTTTCTTTTTCTCGTATTAAGCGAATGAGTGTAACTTAATCAACGATTAACAGTTAAAATTCAGATTGTAACATGTCTCATGCCAGTATATTATGACAGAAGAGTGACGATTCTAAACGAATATTGAGTTTGCATTTGTAAACATGGAGAGAAGACATTACTTTTCATATACTTTAAATGATTTTTATAATTAATTATAATGATTCTAATTTTGAGTGACAAGAATCTTATAATTATATCAACTTTTCAAGTTTGTTTAATATGGGGAAAAATAAGAGAACATAGAACGTGAATAGTGTCATTGATAGAATGTTTGAAAACAGTTTGCGAAATATCCCAGGTTAACTTATTCTAAGGCTTTTTTCGATTCATACATTATTAAGATTGATATAGCGTTAAATTCAGAAATTGATAGGAAAATGAAAAAGATTACACGATGAATCATATGACATAATTTTTTGAGATTACGACTCACAACGAATGACGTAAAATTAAATATAATTATTGTCTAATTATATATTTATAATTGCACATTAGTATAAATTATTATAAAATAATTATATAACAATCACATAACATGTGTGATGTTTCGTGATAAATCTCTAAACGAAATAAGACTAATAGTTAGTGATATCGTATATCAGAGAACAAAATCTTGTTTGTGCTGAGAGCCTCACCATGCTGTTGTAGGCGGCTCTTCCCTTTTATAACACCTAAGTGTCATGATAGTTCTCTCGCGCTCTCTCAGTTAACGGTAATCGACGCATAAATAAGACTATACAAAAAATTAAACATATAGGAATTTTGTTTTTCATTTACAATCAATATATAACAAAGTATGTTCATTTTTTTAAAATTTGTTGTATCAATTTTATTTTTGCGAGAAAAATGTATTCATAATTTCGTCTACACTGCCGATCAATTAGTTTTGCCAATCCAAATAGAGATTTCTCAAAACTTTAAAGTTAAATATCTCAGTTAAAAATTTATATACAGGGAGCAGACGGCGCGCATTTGAAAGGCCTTTTTAAGACATTACAAATATGACACACACACACACATATATCAAATACGACTGATGCGTTTCTCTAATTATTTCTAACAATAATTCAACTTTGAAAATTCGATTTTTTTGCCCACTTTTGACTTCTACCTGTATCGTAAAGAAAAATCGTATGATAATTCAAAGTACATAATTTTGTAGCTTTTTTCAAGCGCTATCTAAAACATTTATTAGAAGTTTAAATTTCTCCAGTTTATCGTGTTCAATGGAGTTTTTACTAAAAAATGACCATTTTGGTGAACTCAAAATATTTTGGTAGATACGAGAGATAAAAAAATATTTATCTAAAAAAAATGTTTACTAATCCAAATAGAATGCAATAAAATTTTTTCAGATCTTTTTTTCGAAAAAAATTATTTACTATATTTTCACTTGCCCTAATTTTTTAAAAATTTCCTTCAATCAACAAATGAGACATAATCTATATGAATATTGTATTTTTTATGAAGTAAAACAAAAGTACAGTTATATTGTACTTGTTGTACAAAAACTTTGGCTCAAAGATATCATTTTTATATTTTGATATTATGTTATTACAATTTGTTTATGCGTTTACAGTTGACGTCATATTGTTATAAGTATCAGTATTATATTTATAAATTTGCAATTTATAGAAATTTTGGCAGACAGTTATTTATATTTAGCGTTTAGTTTGATTGATAAAGATGTATATGAGTATTGAATGTATCAAATTAGTAATAAATTAGTATAAAATTTTTATTTCATTTCTTGATAATAAGATGAAATTATAATGTTCAGAGATTTTTGCTTTGAATATAACAAAGAAGAAAAATTTATCTATCGACAAACATGGGATGATTGTAGACCTTCATAGAGCTCGGAAAATCAATCGCCAAATTGCATATAAACTGAAAACTACGAGACGTATTGTGGATTGCAATGTTAGTAAATTTCTTAATCATGGCACTCGAGCTCTTAGATAAAGAGGTGATAAATCAAAAGTGTCAACTAAAGAAAATGATAAGTATATAGCACCAATTAGTTTACGTAATACGTAATTAACTGCCGCTAAAATCAAATCTAACGTTCAATAACATCTCAAAAAGTCGATAAGTGAAGTAACTATCAGAAGAAGATTTCGAGTACAAGGTCTTTTTGGTCGAGTAAATGTGAAAAAAACTTTTACTCAGCGAAGTGAACATTAAAGAATCTTTACTTTTATGTTAGAGAATAAGAATACTTTACTTTTATGTTACTTTTATGTTAGAGAATAATCTTTACTTTTATGTTAAAGAATGTTTTACTTTTATGGCCACGAAGCACAAAAATTCGACTACTGCTGATTCAAAAAAGTTTTATGGAGTTGTAAATCTAGTTTCAAAATCTTTGGGTTATTGCAAAAGGATAATTTAAGTACATCTAAGAGTGGAAAGTTTTCAGAAAATTTTATTGTGCCAAATTAAACATGGTGGCGAATGGGTGATGGTGTAGGGATGTTGTGCGGGTTCCCGTGTTAGAGTGATCTTACAAAAATAGATAGGATTTTGAAATAGAAAAATTGTTCTTACATAATTTAAAAGCATATATTTCCATCAGGAAGTAAAATAATTGGTGCAAATTTTATATGGCAACAAAATAATAACCTAAAATACACTTCTATCTTGTATAAAAATTTCTTCAAGAGTCTTGAAACAAAAAAAAAATGAAAACGAGGATTTGGCCTCGTCAATCTCCGAATTTCAATTCTATTGAAATAAGATGAAAAGAGCACCATCGTTCTGTCCGAAAAGAATACTCTACATCACAAACAGATTTATTGCAGCAAGAATGGAAGAAAATTTTAGAAACTATACTAAAATAGTTTATTAACAGGATACCTAGAATATGCCGTGCAGTGATGAAAAGTAAATGTTTATTATTATTGCTCTCGGAAATATAATTTGCAAATATATCTTTTAGAGTTCGAACTTGATTTATTATAACGTAGAAAAGTTGAAACGTGAAAATAAGATATCATTTTTCATTTTGTATTTTTTTAGTAACTATTTCTTCGTTATTCAAAATTCTGTTTCTTATATTAATACAATATTCATCAGTTTTTTGATAATTTACTAACCTCTTTAATAATTTAACTGTATCTCTGTTCAATTCTATTTTTGCTATCGCACTAATTATAATATCAGTATTTTTATTAATATTCACTTCTAGGCTCATTTACATACTTAAATAATCGGAGCCTGAGTTTTGTTTCCCTTTAATATGTTCAAAACCAATGTTATAATCCTGAATCGATAAGATTCAATGAATTATTCTCGTATGATTAAACTTACTACAATTTAAAAACGAAACAGTTTCGTGGTCAGTACGAACTATGATTTTTTGCCCCCATTAAATAAGATTGTAATGTATACAACGATCATGCAACTGCGCTTAACACTTCCTTCATAGTAAAATTACTAATTTCACTACCTTTTAAATTACGACTAATAAAACAAACTATTTGTTCTTTTGACAAACAAACTATTTCGATCGATACATGCTAATGTTATATCTTTATTGAAAGCTGCAATAATTTTATAAAATGCTAAGGAATGTTCATGAGGCCATTTGAACTTAACATCTTTTCTTAACAAATCTAATAAAGGAATACTCAATCCCGCATAATTTTTTGCGTATCTCGTATGAAAATTTATAAATCCTAAAAACGATTGCAATTCTTTAACCTTTGTAGATTCTTTAAAACTTTTGATCGACGTTATTTTATTAGAAGCAGGAACAATTCCATTCAGAATAAGAAATTATCCTAAAAATTCAAGTGTTTGATGACAAAATTTCGATTTTTCAAGATTAAAAGTAATATTAAATTTCTCATATTTTTCAAAAAGCAATTCTGGATGATGTAAATGTTCAACAGAATTAGATCTATGGATATTATCTACAAATGTCAACCAAAAATCTCCCAATTTAGAAGTTACTTCACTAAATGATCTTATTAATGCCGCTGAACTTGTTTTTATGCCGAATATGGAAACATTAAATTCAAATACTCCATTTAATATTATAAAAGCTGAGTAGTATTTACTTTCTCCCGATAAACCAATTTGTTAGTAACTACTTATTAAATCTAAACTTGATATAAGTGGTTTTTTCGTACATTGCAATAATACATCATCGATTGATGGTGCACATTTATAATCATCCTCCAATTTTTTATTCAACTTACACGCATCAAAACATAAACGAATGTTGCCTTTCTTTTTCGGCACAACAATCATCGAAATTATATAATTACTTCTCGATGGTTTCTGATACCTAATTTCAACATTTTGTAAATCTCAATTTCTATTTTATCCTTACAATATATGGGAATTGAATATGGTTTCGAAAAAAGTGGTTTATCATCTTTCGAACGTAACTCATGAAAATGTATATTAATTAATCCTAGCTTTTTTGGAAAATATTTTAATAAGTGTTTGAATTTTATAACTTGATTAAAACTTACAAGGGAACTACCCTAACCCGACCCTACCGATTTTAATGATTTTTAGATATATTGTAATGCTTCAAAAAATATCCACTTTTAAGGGGTGAAATCCACCCTTGAAAACCACCTCGAAAAATAGGTTTTTCAATATATCTCTGCATCTTGTGACGGGTGAGGCGATCGTTGAGATTGCTCGCCCTACCTTGCCTCTCTCTCTTCCGCGTGCCTTTCTCTTCACCTCTGCCACATCAATGTCTTGGTGATTTGTTTTTAAAAAAATTATTAATTACACAGACACACAAAAATAAAGTGGGCCGTTCCAAAGATGGCACCTATGTACACTTATGTTTTTTGGTGTGCTGAATCCGAGTCCACCGTCAGATGGCCCTACATCCTTCAGTTACTCGTAATCGGGGTAAACTACCTTTAAAATTCGGAAAATCTCTACTAAATTTGGATTCTTCCGTTTATAATACATTTTCATAGATGAGTTTGGATCCTGGTATAATATTTACAACTACAGTTCTATATTTTAATGGGCTGAAGTTGAATTTTGGGATATCAGAGTTATGCAACCCTCTAAGTTTGCATAAAACCGTCCCTAATACGGAAAAATTCTTGTCACGGTAGAAAATTACGGGGATTGAGGGAATCGGAGTATCCGGTGCCAAGCTTAAAGAATAAAGTTGCACGTAGACTCAGGTGCAGAGCATCTTTTATAGGTTTTCGAAATTCATAACCACATAAGTCTGCAGATAACCACCACTAATCTTGAAAATTCCCTGTCTAAACAAAAACTGCGGTAATAGTATCAGAGTATCAAATGCTGAATTAAAAGAGTAAAATTGTACTACTCTCAGAGGCAGAACAGGATTTAGAAATTATCAAAACTCGCAGATCCCTAAGTCTGAAAAAAACTGTCCCTTAATCCGGAACACAATATAGGAATTTCAATTCGAAAGAAAAAGAATTTCCTCCGTAAAGTAACAGTAAGAAAAATTTTGATAGTCAAAAAATTACTCTGCGTCTGCATGAACTGATTCTGTATCAAAATAGCCGTAAACTTATTTCAGAAATTCGTCATTTTCTTCATTTGTATCGAACTCGCGTCTTTTCAAGCGATCTGTGTAGTGAATTTCTTTTTCTCTCCTTTCCTTTTGTTTCAATATCCCTCTTTAACATCCAACAGAAATCTGCCATCATGTTATGTCCCATCTTCCTTGGTATCTACGTTTCATTTCCTGTATATCCTGATGAAATCGTTCACCTTGTTCTTCAGTGTAGTCCCCGAGATTTACGGAAAAATAGTCCAGATGAGACTGCAGGAAATATAATTTCAAATTCATCAAACAACCCAATTTCTGATAATTCTCCAGCAGTTTATTAACTAGAATCTGAGACTGATCACTTTTTTGATTTCCCAGGAAGTTTTGTGCTACTGCTTTGAAGCTGATCCATGCTTTCTTCTCAGTTTCGTTCATTCTCGTAACAAAGTACTGATCTGCAAATAAGGTTCGAATTTGTGGTCTGTCGAAGTTTCCTTTTTTTAACTTCGTATCACTCATTCCCGGAAATTTAGTTCCCAAGTCCGGGTTCGCAAGCACAGGAGCTTCAGTGAGCGATTTTTTCAGTCGCTCAAATGCCTCCTGTTGCTCACCGCCCCAAACCCACGGCTCATCTTTCCCCAATAATTTCGTGAGTAGTACCTTTATGTCACTTTCATTTTCGATAAATTTCGCGTACCAACCCACCATACCCAGGCAAGTCCGAAGATGTTCTATCGATCGAGGCGCCGGGTAGTCCATAATCGGCTGAATCTAGCCTGGGTCTGGACGCAGACCCTCACTGTCCAGCCTATAGCTAAGATACGTCACCTGCGTACAAAAGAAGTCCGATTTTTTGAGGTTGATCTTCAAGCCTACCTCAACTAAACGCCGAAGTACTCTTTCCAACCACTGCATGTGGTCCTCAAAATTCGCACTCACTAACAATAAGTCGTCCATACGAGGTGTGATCAAAAAGTAAGGTGAATTTTGAAATTTAGCGGGCTACGTCCGTTCGATCTTCGACTTTTTTATTTGGTTATGTCGGTACACTCGTCTAGAACATACGTTCCAAATTTCAGCTTTGTAGTATGTTTGGTTTGTTTGTGAGAGGCATCAAGGTTAGAAGTGTTTTGCGTGCTCCACGATTTGCTGCTGTCTAAAAACATGGATCAAAGAGTTTGCATTAAATTTTGTGTGAAAAATGGAATCAAATGTTCCAAAACACTTGAAATGCTGAAAGTGGCATACGGTGAGTCTACTTTAAGCCAAAAAAATGTTTACAAGTGGTATAAACTCTTCCAAGAAGGCCGAGAAGACACCGACGACGAACCTCGTTCTGGACGCCCCAGCACATCAACAACTGATGAGAATGTTGAAGAAGTGAAGAAAATAGTGTTGGGAAATCGTCGAATTACCATTAGAGAAATTGCTGATGATATTGGCATCTCATTTGGTTCGTGCCAATCAATTTTGACGAGTGTTTTAGATATGAGACGTGTGTCAGCGAAGTTTGTTCCGAAATTGTTCAATTTCGACCAAAAGAAACGCCGCATGAGCATCGCCCAAGAGCTACTGAATGACGTCAACGATGATCCAGATTTACTCAACAGGGTTATAACAGGTGACGAAACATGGGTATACGGTTATGACGTCGAGACTAAGACTCAATCGTCCCAGTGGAGGCATTCTGGATCACCAAGACCAAAAAAAGCACGCCAAGTTCGATCAAATGTAAAGGTTTTGCTTACAGTTTTCTTTGACTGCAGGGGCGTGGTGCATCATGAGTTCTTGCCACAGGGTAGAACAGTAAATAAGGAATATTACCTGCAAGTTATGCGCAATTTGCGTGAAGCAATCCGCCAGAAATGTCCGAATTTGTGGAAAAATAAAAATTGGCTTTTGCACCATGATAACGCCCCTGCTCACACATCGTTGCTTGTGCGCGAATTTTTGGCTAAAACCAACACAGTAACGATGCCACAGGCACCGTATTCCCCAGATCTGGCCCCCTGTGACTTCGTCTTGTTCCCAAACCTGAAGAGGCCCATGAAAGGACGGCGTTTTGCCACGATTGAGGAGATAAAGACGGCATCGAAGGATGAACTAAACAAGATCACAAAAAATGATTTTTTGAAATGCTTTGAGGATTGGAAAAAGCGTTGGCACAAGTGCATTATATCCGAGGGGGATTACTTTGAAGGAGATGAAATAAAAATTGATGAATAAATAAATATTTTTTGAGAAAAATAAAAATTCACCTTACTTTTTGATCACACCTCGTATACCAGAAAACATTCTGCGCAAATTCCGGTCCGAATAGCGCGTCCATGAAGCGTATGAACGTCGCGGGCGCGTTTACCAGGCCGAAGGGCATTCTATCAAACTCCCACAGTCCCAACCCCGGAACCGCAAACGCAGTAAATTGTTTACTTTTATCGTCTAAGGGAATCTGCCAAAACGCCGACCTGAGATCATCCTTTGACAAAAATACGGCGCCGCGCAGTCGATCCAAAATTGAATCGAGACTAGGCATCGGGTACGCATCGTTCTTTGTCACTTTATTTACTGGACGGAAGTCCAGACAAAATCGATACGTCTCATCTGCCTTTTTCACCACGACCGGCGCGCTAATCCATTGACTGTCTGACGGCCTGATTATCCCTGCGCGTCACATTCTCGTCGTCTCTTCCTGAGTAAACTTCAAGATCGGTGGCAACATCCGTCGCATAGGCATTTTAATCGGTCTCGCATCCCCCACATCTATCACGTGTTTGATTAAATTCGTCACGGCCCGGACAATTCCGGATTCGGGCACTATGCTGTGCACCAACGCCAATACCCGTTTACGCTGCGCCTTCATATAGCTCACGAGTGCTGCGCACTCGGCGAACACATGTGCCGTCCCATCCGTATTACTCGCTAAGGGAATCCATTCTCGCGAGCCCTTAGGTCGCCATTCCCGTCTCTCGATGCTAATATCCTGCATCCATGCGTTACAAAAATCCGCGCCCAAAATCAAATCATGCGCGCACTGCGCTACGGCACACGCGATCAACGTCCCACTCTTCCCTCCTATCTCGAGGTATAATTTAAGATCACCCAAAGGGTCCGGTTCCTCACCCGAATATCGTTGGCGGCCTCAATCGCAACCCAAACCTAGTCTCTAATCCCGGGCCCACGACCGTCACCTGCGCACCCGAATCCAACAACGCTAAATAATTATTTCCATTTATTTTAATGGCTAGAAAAAATCTATTTTCTACTACGGCCACCTGAGCTGCGTTGTTGCCTTCATCGTTTCACAGCCTCGCTTGCGGCTGTCCGAGAGTCGCGGAGAGCATCGCGGTGATTCCATCGTCCCGCGCTCTACCCGCGTTCCATCGAACCTCTCTTTTACCTCAGGCGCATCCGAGAGCACCAGGAAGCATCGTGGAGACTTCTCCATCACGCACTCTTCTCGAGCTCAATCGGATCGCTCTTTCTCTTTTAGCGCATCCGAGAGCAGCTGAGTGCGTCGTGGCGACTCTTCAGCCACGCGCTCAACCTGCCCTCGATCGGATCGCTCACTCACTACTCCAGACTTCCTTTTTGCGACAGTGCGATCTTCCCTCTCATCCACTATATCTCGCGGTTTCTTTGTTTCGATTCCTACTGTTTTCCCAAATTCGACATCCTCGAGATCCGACACTTTCAACTGCTCATAATGGCGCGACAGACTATCCCAAAATTCCTCTGCCCTATCCGTAACTTCTTCTGAGTACGCGCCTCCAATTCCGCGCACCGACCTATCAATCGTGCCGTTCTTATTTTGGTCGCGCGGCCCGGCTGCGAATAACAACGCAGCCTCACCGGGCTCGACCACTTCATTACCGTTTACCTCCCCATTGACGGATCTCGTTGCGCGAGCCACCCTATTCCGGTGCACCTCAAGCGCTAACCGCGCTCGCCCGAGCAAACCCAAGCAGGGGTCGACGAGCGAGTTTTGGCTCCCACCTGCGAGTTTCCCTGTGGTTCCAGTCCACCCGCACACTTGAGGCAGTTCTGGAAAACTATCCCCGCGGTCCCGCAAACCTGACAGCTAACCACGGCCCCCGGACACATATTGGCAAAGTGTCCGGCTTGTCTAGACCGATAACAGGTCGGAGGCGGTCTACCTCTGTCGCGGTTAACGCGATTCGGACATTGCGAGCTCCTATGCCCCCGTCCTCCACACGAAAAACAATTTCCCCCGAACGTGCGCGAACTCACGCCTGTGCCCTCACTGCCTTGCTGCGCGCCACTCTGCTGGGGAACTAAACTCGGCGAGACCGAGGCTCGCGTCCGTACTGCACTCGGGTCTGCCGGAGCGGCCGAGGGTGCGGAATTATTCGCACTTACGAGTATACCTCCGCCGGCTCCTGCACCCGAGGTCAGCCTACCATCCTCGCCCTGCTGTGCTGCAGCCGTGAGCACTTCATTCTTTGACATGTCGCTATTCTTCCCCTTTAACCGCCTTCTTGAACGCCGCGCACTCGATCTATCCTCCGGTGTCACCTTAACGTTCTTCTCCGCCTCTATCACCGCCGTCCTTGCCACTTTTCTCGCTGGTTCCGCTGAACTTCTATATGCCGCGTCCTGAACTAGTATACTGTCGGCCGCCTGGGGCGGTTGCCATCTCTTCTTCCTTGTCCGCTGACGCTCGAATAACGTCGGGGCTGACGCAGACCTGAGCGTCCGAAAGTCCTTAGGCGCCTCGGTCTGCGACCGACCAGCCCCGCTGTGCCCGGCTCACACTCATCCGAACTCGATGACTCGCTCCAGCTATCTTCCCATTCACTTGCCGATGGGCACCTCGGCCTATGCTCCTCTTCAGATCCCCCTGAATAGGTAAACCATGGTCTAGCGCGCGGTGACGTACCCTCTATCTTCACGGTGTGATCATAGAGCTCCGCCTTTCAACAGTTCCTTCACTAATTCCTCCCAGTTCTTCATGACCTCCCCTACCCCGCGTGATAATGCCGGAGTACTCGTTTCCCTGTCGGACAACCCTAAAACTCCCTCCTCGGTTTCGTCGCTTTCCTTTTCCGAAAAAAATTCGTCCTCTGAAACCGGCTCACGCGAGCTACCTTCCCACCGACGGCGCGATGCAGAACGAGATAATCGCTCCTCCCGGCTCCGCCTATGCGGCGTCCGAGCTGCCGTTATGCCCTCAGCACGCGGCGCATCCTGCCTACCTGCTTGCATTCCCAACGCGGCCTCTTCTACGCGTTATAAATTATTCGCGTTCTCGGATAACGCTGTTCGTACTTCCCTACGCATAACCAATTCAGGCAGGCTCGCGACGATATTCCATACTTGTCCGAAAATGTTGGACTCCCCCCCCCCCGCCCCCGATACCCTGGAATCTACCTCTCCGTGAGGCGCCAACTCATTCCTCGTATGGACGGGAGCCGTCGCCCCATCATCCGACGCATTTTGGACATTATCTTGCCCGTCCTCGTTCCTATACTCTGACCCGCTTCTCAGCGCCGCAACCGGTCGCGGCCACTCGTCCGCGGATGCCAAGCTCTCTCGCCTGCGAATTAACGCAGGCTTGATCTGGCCCTCCACTCGTCCGTCGCTCACTCCGCTTTTATCCGGTTGCAGGTCCATATTGACCTCGCTCGATTCCTCAGGCAGAATACCCTCCGGTGGGCCCGGCATCAAACCCGTCTCATAGTCGCCAGGACTCAGGGGCGGATTAAGTTCCGGCCGCTCACGCGAGATCATGTAGCACATAA